GCCAGGGTTGAAATTCTATCATGTCCTATAATGGTCAGTGTGAAGTAACAAGTGAAAAATTGATTAGGTTGGCTTCTGACTGGCCATAGTATTTTAAATCAGGACTGCTTAGGGAGGTAAGGGATAATGTATTTGCTGTGGTTGTAGGGTGGAAAATTCATTATGGTATAGACGTGCAAAGAATGCATGGGGCTTTTTATTTATCTATAACTGATAAATTTTTTCTGAGCCTTCAGTTCATTCAGCAGGAGTAATTATAGTAGGGATCAATACTTCAGTTTGCCAGTTCAATGTATATCATTTTCTTTCACTTTACACAGTCTCTTTCTAGTTAAAAACAATTTGATTATGTAAACATTTAGTCAAATAAAAACCAACTCTTTATCGAGACTATTTGTCTTGTGCCTGCCGTCTTTATAAGAGGGAATCTAGATGAGGGGAAAGTTTAGGATCTTCATTGGAGGGGTGGAGTGCCTCATGATGGTCTTTGTGTTGGTCTGGCTCTTGGATTTACAATGGTTGATGATTGATATCCACTGACTTGTGCTCATGGTTGGGTCCATGAGTGTCTTGCTAGTGCTCATCATTGAAATCTATGGCTAAGAAATTATGGTTTGTTTATCTTGATTAAGTCAGAACTTAATTTTTTTTCCCTGTAATTATGTACTGTCTTGATCCTAGATGGCACTACAGATCTCCTATTTCTTCTGGGTGTGTCTTCCACACCCATGTGTGTGTCTCCCACTTGCTTTCTAGTTGGTCTGGTCTGCCTGCATTGAAGTTTTTTTTTTTCTAGGAGTGCTTTGATTTCCTCATTGTAACCACTTTTTTAACCACTTCCCTCCAGTGCCTCGGCATTATTACAGTTTTCCTCTTCCTGTCCCAGTGTCAGTGTGAAGATGGTCTGTGGGTACCCAGTGGGAGATGGGCCAAAGCTCCTGCTTCTGGCTTTCCTTTCAACCTAATTAATATCCCACCTCCCGTGATTTTAACTCTGAAAGGGGTAGGCAGATAGCACACATCCAACGGGTTATTTTCTCTGCTTCTTTTTCTTCTCAATATCACCTTTCCTGGAAGAGAAAGGCTTTCTGCTCCTTCCTTTCTGAAAGAAACTTGCTGATGCCAGATCATGGATTTCCTTTTCCTTATGACCTATAATAAAATTTGGCCAACCAGTTTGCTCAACCTTGTTCTTAATATATTAATAGGAGGGAAAGATATTTGGAAAATATTTTGTTTCTTAATAAATTTTGATACTCAAGCCTATTGGCTAGCTGAGAAATTACACTTTGGTTTTCAAAAGCTGAAGATTTTCTTTCTTTTTTTTTTTAAGATTTTATTTATTCATGAGAGACACACAGAGAGAGGCAGAGACATAGGCAGAGGGAGAAGCAGGCTCCTTGCAGGGAGCCCAATGCAGGACTCGATCCCAGGACCCTGGGATCATGACCTGAGCTCAAGGCAGATGCTCAACCACTGAGCCACCCAGGCACCCCAAAAGCTGAATGTTTTCTTGTTTTTTTGATTTCTGCTGTAATCCTCATAACTATCCTGAAGGCAAATGGATGCCTCCAAAACCATTTGTTTATTCTTTCATACAGCAAAAAGTTATTGAGCATATGTTATGTGTTCAGTTCAGTTTCAGGTGTTTGTATGCTAGCGGAAAAGGTGAACAATACATGAGAGAGATAAGGAAGGTATTACAAAGTGATAAATTCTATGGAGAAGACTGAAGCAGAAAAGGACAAGTGGAAGTGTTGGGTGGAGAAGTTGTGCTATTCTCCATAGTTGGGGAAAGGCTTCATTGAGAAAGTGACTCCTGAGAAAAATGTGAAGGAATTGAAGGAATTAGTCATCTGATATCTGGGGAAAAATAGTAAATTCAAAGGCTTTAGGGTAGATAGTGTGTCTGCTTGGAACAAGAAAGTGGTAGGAGATGAGGTCAGAGAGGTAATGGGTAGTTAGAACATATAGGGCCTTGTAAGTTAGAGTTGGACTTTGATTTTTATGTAGGGTGGGTCAGGAACCCCTTAGAGGCTTTTTTTTTTTTTAAGATTTTATTTATTTATTCATGACAGACACAGAGAGAGAGGCAGACAGAGGCAGAAGGAGAAGCAGGCTCCATGCAGGGAGCCCGATGTGGGACTCGATCCCAGGACTCCAGGATCAGGCCCTGAGTCAAAGGCAGATGCTCAACCACTGAGCCACCCAGGTGCCCCACCACTGGAGGCATTTACGTGAGGCATGACATGATCTGATGCAAGTTTTTAAGTCTGTAGGAAAGTAAGCAAGAAAATGAGGAGGCCGTTGGAAGTTATTGCAGTAATACAGATGAGAGATGATGGTGGCTTAAACCAAGCCTCTGGCTGTGAAGAAGTGGCTAAATTCTGGCTATATTTTGAAATTAGAAACATCAAAATTTGACTATAAACCAGATATAGAAAGTTAAAGAAAGAAAAGAATCAAGAATGGCACTGAGAATTTGGCACTGAAAACTTGAAAAATGGAATTGTATTCAACTAAAAAGTAAAATGAGCACATTTGATGTATGGGGAGAGGGGATATCAGGAGTCCAATTTGGACATGATAAGTTTAAAATGTCTGTTAGACATCCATGTGAGGATGTTGAGGATGTTGTCATCAACAGTTAGATCTATGGGTCAACATCCAAGGGAGAAGTTTACATTATTACCATATAGTCTTTCTTTTTTTTTTTTTCCATATAGTCTTTTTTACCTAAGAGTAATAAAAGCTTGCCTTACTTGAGAGGAAAAGGAAAAAACAAGCAAACAAACAAAAAAACCCAGTAAATTTAAAGAAGTTAATGGAATGCCTGAAAACCAAACCAAAAGTTCTAACTAATTGTAGATTTTAACAAACACTTTAAAGCCCTCTCCAACTAGAGATGTAGAAGTAAAAAAGATCAGAGAAGGAACTTACTCAACAGTTCTTCATAATAAACAGTGTTCAGATTGTTCTTAAGTTTCAGTTATCTACTTGGCTCGTTCCTTCACCTTCTTCAAGTCATTGCTCAATTATTTCTCTCTTAATGAGGCAAGGTTGACCACTGTATTTAGACTTCAGCCTAATTGTTTTACTGTTGTCATTCTAAATCTCCTTAAACTGCTTTATTTTGTTTTTTATCAATACCATTTGTCACTTTCTTAAATATGATGTGATTTTCTTATGTTTGTTCATTGTTACGTTGTTTAGCTTGTATATAGCTTTCAATCCTACTGGCCTCGCCTATAATTCTGGCTTTGGCAGTGGTCACTGGTTCCCTGAGGGCTTTGACCAGCTTCATGTGGTTGCAGTGTGATTCAGGCATGCAGTGCCTTACCTCAGACTCACATCTTAAATTCCTGTCTTAGGGCTTCTCTGACAGTGCAGACCGCCTTTGGGAACCTGCTGGGTACAAAATTAATGTAACCTGAAGGTGGCGGGACTGGATCCTGTCAAAGGTGGGCATTTTATTCCCTCAGGCAGATGTTCCTGGACACTTTTACAAAGTATCTCATACATTGTAGAACAAGAGAGTGGCGGCCAACTTATTGTGTCCAATAATTGATACTTCCACCATCCTTTTATTCACCCTGTCCCTAAATTTTGTTCACTGAGATCATACTAATAAATTATTCACTTATACTTACATAAGTCTTGGTCACAGGTTCTACTTTATGGAGAATTCAGGCACTTATTTTTTTTTTTTTCCTTCTACCACTTCAGCTGCCCAAAGGTACCTGATACACCCTAAGCATCCAGAAGATTGTCTGGCATCTGACAGGCTCTCAACAAATATGTACTGAATTGAATTGAAAGTCATTTGGTTCTCTAATTACTAAATCAGGTAAGGATTAGGAATTTGTGATTTCAATGCCAAAGTGAAACTATCAAAATGATACATTACCTAATAGTCATTGAATTAGACCATAGTGGGGATGCCTGGGTGGCTCAGTGGTTGAGCATCTGCCTTTGGCTCAGGTCATGATCCCAGGGTCCTGGGATTGAGTCCCACATCAGGCTCCCCGGAGGGAGCCTGCTTCTCTCTCTACCTATGTCTCTGCCTTTCTATCTGTGTCTCTCATGAATAAATAAATAAAATCTTTAAAAAAGAGAGAGAGTAGGTGTTAAAGGACTTGTATTTAGGAGGCATATTGCTTAGGATGTGTGTGTTACTTGCTATATGTGTAAATTTGGAAAATTCTTTAACCTCTCTGTGTTATAATTGCCTCATCTCTAGAATAGATATAATAATTATCTCTAGTTCAAAAGGTTGTGAAAATTAAGTGCATTTATATATGTGTATATATACATATACATATATATGTATATGTATATGTATATATACACACACACCTGAGTGGCTTAGTCAGTTGAGTGGCTGACTCTTGATTTCAGTTCAGGCCACGATTTCAGGGTTCTGGAATTGAGCCCTGCTGTGGGCTCCATGTTCAGTGGGAAGACTGCTTGAGGTTCTTACTCTCCCTCTCTCTCTCTGCTCCTCTCCCCACTTGCACACACATTCTCTTTCTAAAACCAGTCAATCATATATATATATATATATATGATTTGGCATGTATAATATCCATACAGTAACATGTTTGAATATATACAACATACATAACTACAATTACTATTATTGTTGCTGTTGTTATTGATTTCCACCACACATATTATGGAGACTCAGCATCAAAATAAGTGGACATTCCCACCCTTCAAGTAAGTCTAACCAAAGTTTTCTCACCATTTTCTTGTATTTTGCTTGTTTCCAGTTACAATTAGCATTTACTCTAATAAACATGTAAACAATATAGAAATATATAAAGTTCCACAATATGTTCCATTGCCATAGCTCTACTGAAGGTTCATTTTATTTGAGTATAACTTTGTTTGCTGATACTATCAGCCCAACTTATAGATGAATTAATCAATTCATGACAAATACTATCATTATGATGAATATTATTTACTAATCTACCCTTCGGCCCCAATGCAAGGGTATTGAAAGTCATTTGGTTCTCTAATTACTAAATCAGGTAAGGATTAGGAATTTGTGATTTCAATGCCAAAGTGAAACTATCAAACAACTTATTTTGCTGCTGTTAAGCTTATGGACAGAATATCAAACTAAATCTCAGAATCCTGGAATTTTATCATTTGTGAGATACAGATTGCTATGCCTACCCCATCAATTTTGAGGGAGAATTAAATGTCATAATGTTCATAGAGGGGCCTGGCACAGGCTCCTCTGGCATGTAGTTGAAGATCAATAGCACTGATTGAAATCAATGCTAATTGGAATAGCACTAATTAGAATCCCACCCATACTCCATACTTCTCAGAACTTGTTGCTGTGATTTTCCTAAGAAGATTCAAACACAAAATTTTAGCTCTACAAATGTCTAATTAGTACTTGGTGAACAGAACTCACTTTCATGAAAATAAATGTTCCAGAGATGAATGTTAGGGATTGAAAGCTTTTTATTAACCATAACAGCACCAGTTACAGAGTTATTTCAGCTGCACTTCAATTTGTAATTTAATTTAATAAATCACAATGAGAATTACTAAAAAGCAACCTAATCTGAGTTCTTTAAATTCTTTTAGCTTGGCATTAAATGCTAAAGAAATGCATTTATTAAGAAAGCTTCTTGTAAGGCATAATACCTTGATTGAGATATAACCTGTGATTTACAAAGTTTAAACTTAAAATACATGCTCAGTGTGTGTGTTTTTTTTTTTTTTTGAAGATTATTTATTTATTTGAGAGAAAGAAAATGAGGCGGGGATGGCAGAGGGAGAGGGAGAAGCAAACTCCCCTTTGAGCAGGAAGCCCAATGTCAGCTCCATCCCAGGACCCCGAGAGCATGACTTGAGCTGTCCAGGTGCCCCCTGAGTGTGATTTTTTTAAGGTAATAAACATAAGGTATTGAATGGAAAACTAGACTTGCTGTTAAAAAATTAATCTCTAACTTGATGACTTTGACTTAATCTTCACTTTGGAAGCCTATAAAATATGTGGTTATGGGGATGTAAAAGGAGATTATAAACAGATATCTTCTATTTTCTTGACTGGTGTTTTTGCCAAAAAACTCTACAAGGAAGGTCTTACGTACAGTCAAGACATTATTACTTTAAGAGTTGGGAACTTCAAGTGAGATTCAAAATAGCAGAGTACTTCCATGAATATGAAGGAGGAAAGAGCACTGCTTAGTTTCATTGCAGACAGCTGCCAACTTGAAGATGCGCTACAGTCTTTTTCTGTTATAAGGTGATTTATGAATATCATTATAAATCCATCTTAGCACTTTTACTGCTTTAAATGCCATAAACTCATGGGATCTGTAACCTCACATGTAATAAAATTCAAAAAAGATGAGAAAAACATGATTACCAATCATTCAGCCCTCTAATATGAATTTATTTACAATCACTTTGACTCCTGAAACTAGCTAGTCTTAATCACAAGTGAGATAATTTAGCATAATCAAATTGTACCTTTTTACATCAGTGCTCATTACGTGCCTGAGGCAAAGCAGGTATCAAATTAAACACTAGTAAATTCCAGTGACTTCATTTAGGGAAAATGATTATCTCTAAAGTAAACCAAAATACTGGGAGAAAACACATAACGTTTTTCAAAGAGGTTTCTGAAGTTTGAAACAAACTAGAATTTTGCTTGAAATAATACTGAATAATTACTGAAAACATTTGTGTCAGTATAAAAACTCACTAAAAGCATTTTCAGAATAATTCTTCAAAAATATGATCCTAGAATCTAAATTATCCCTTTCAGCAAACTTAAGAACGTATTTCGATGATCTAAAACTACAATGTTAAAATTAAAAAAAAAAAAAAAAAAAAAACAAATCCCAGAAAAGGAGATGGGAGTACTGTATGAAGTCTAAACTGTTTGGGATTATCATTTTTCAAAGGTGTTTCCTGCCCAGTTTTAAATGTCAGTTGCCAAAAATGATAAGCAAACAATTCTGTCAATAGACCACTTATGTCCCTTACTCTGTTCTTCTCGAAGTGACAAAGTGCCTTGATTCCAGCAGCGATTCCCCAGTCTGCTTTCGCCTTGGGTTTCCGCTGTGACCATTAACTGCTGAAACTGAGCCCAGAGTCCAGGATCACAAGATCTGAATGTTGCAAGGGATCCTGAAGAGGTGAATTAACTCATCCCTCTGCCTCTAGGAAGGGAAAACTGGCCCCAGATACTTCCAGAGGAATAATTTTGCATCCTAATGAGAGGGAAAGACTAAGTAGTGGGAATTTCCTTCCGAAACTCGGTTGCATACTTTTGGACTATTTCTATGCTAATGCTGTTGCAACAGCAAGTAAATGTTCCGAAGTGTACATGGGCGGTGCCTCCCCACACAGCCAGATTAGCACATGACTCGGCTTAGGCATGTAGCTGTTACAGATTCATTAATTTGCCTGAGAAAATTCCTTTTATGGATTAAACAACCCATTGGAATAGAACCATTTTTATACATCCTATTTTACATGACTAAATGTTTCTACTCTCAGTATTTTTCCATCTCTCCCTTCCCTTCAACTTTCTTCTCCATTCTTCCACTTTTCTTTCCTGCGGTCCTCTTTCTCCCTGGCCTGCTCTCTACCCTCCACCCTGCGTAACCACACCACTAAGCTTGACGGTTAGCTCATTACCTTGGCACCATCTTTTCCCTGACCTTTTATATTCTGTTGGATGCCAGATTCTGGAATTAATGCTTTAAAAATGACTCCCAAATCAGTACCTCTTTTCCATTCTGTTGCTGCTGTCTCACTTCAGGCTCTTATGTTCAGCTTGGATATAATTTCCCTACTCGTCTCCTTGCTTTGGTTTCTTTCCAGCATCCAAGTATATTGTGTGCACTGCTGTCAGAATGGTCAGCATGAAGCACAGCTCGGACTTAATCCTGCATGGAAACCTCCACTGCTGCCACGTTACCTGCCCAGGCATCCAAACCCCTTGACCTGGCTCTTAAACTCCACTTCCCTCCCCCACTGCCAACACTCATCTTATGACCCGGTTCCAACCTAACTTTCTAGAGTTACCATTTGCTTTTTGCTTTTGACATGGGTGACAGTCTGCCTGAACCATATTAAATTTGCTGAGCACACTACACTTTAAACTTTCTTACATATTTTTCTCTAATTCTATGTTTTTGCAATCTTGCAATCTTGTTTCCTTCATCTAAGATTTTCTTCTTCCAATATTTACCTATTGAAACCTGACTCCTCCTTCAGTTCCTAACCAATCAACCAACTAACCAATTAACCAAACAATAACAGCAGTTACGCTTTATTAGACTCTCCTAACTTATCAAGACATTCTGAATACTTAGCCCCTGATCCCAAACACGTACTGGGAAGATATTATTATAACCATTTCACAGGTAAAGAAACCGCAATACGGAAATGTTAGTGGTTTTTATCCTAGGCTGCATAGTTAATAAGTGGGATGTTAACACATCCTGGTAGTTATCAACCTAATATTCTTTCTTCCTTTAGCAGAACTCTGAATTTTATTTTTTGGAAGGGGTATTAACAGTGTGACCAGCTAAAACAAGAAGACATCAAAAACTACATATCTCAATTTCCCTGGTAACAGGGACTGAGTCTTTCTCTCTCTTTCTCTCTTTCTTTCATCTTTTCCTTCTTTTCTTTTCTTTTCTTTTCTTTTCTTTTCTTTTCTTTTCTTTTCTTTTCTTCTCTTCTCTTCTCTTCTTTTCTTTTTTTTCAGAGAGAAAGAGAGAGAGGAGGGGAGAGAGGAAGTGGAAGAGACAGAGAGACCTCTTAAGCAGGCTCTGCCCCCAGCACAGAGCCCAACTTGGGGCTCAAATTCATGACCCTGAGATCATGACCTGAGCTGAAATCAACAGTCAGATGCCTAACCAACATAACCATCCAGGCACCCCTTGGACTCTTTCAACATACTTCTAGCCAAGGAGACCTAAATGGTAGTCTGCTGAGAGTTTTGGCAACATTTTCTTGTCTCTTCCATGGCTTGTTCTTTTTCCTTATCCTTTAGAAAGCAGGGCTGAGATGCCTGGGAAGCGAGAATCATCTGGGAACTATCAGGGTGACAGAGCACTAAGGAAGGGAGAACAGGAAGATGAAAGAGTCTGAGAGGTTGACGGCTCTGAGAGTTGCTGCACTGATGCCTGTCCAGAAATTCTTGTTGGGTAGAAAGATGAAAGTTTAATTCGATTAATTTGTGCATTGGGTTTTCATTTGCTGATACATGAGCACAATTTCCAACTGGTGCATGATGGAAATGGGTTTCACACCTATGATCTGTCTCCTGGATTATTCTTTGGATTCCATCATCACTGGCCCTGTCATGATGTACATTAAGCCTTACCTGAATCCCCAGCTCAGAAATAAAATTTTGGGGGCACTTGGGTGGCTCAGTGGTTGAGCGTCTGCCTTCAGCTCAGGTCATGGTCCCAGGGCCCTGGGATTGAGTCCCACATCCCCGTGGGGAGCCTGCTTCTCCCTCTGCCTGTGTCTCTGCCTCTCTCTCACTCTGTGTCTCTCATGAATAAATAAATAAATTCTTAAAAAAAAAGATTTTATTTATTTATTCATGAGAAACACACACACAGAGAAGCAGAGACACAGGCAGAGGGAGAAGCAGGCTCCATGCAGGGAGCCCGACGTGGGACTCGATCCTGGGTCTCCAGGATAACGCCCTGGGCAGTGCTAAACCACTGAGCCACCGGGGCTGCCCATAAATTAAAAAATAAAATAAAATTTAAAAATAAAATAAAAATTTCTTCCTTCTGCATGCCCATTAAATTCTGAGCTAATTTTAAGGCTTTTTATTATTTCCTCTTTTTATTTGGAAGTTTTAGTGTCAATTGTAAATTTCTCAAAAGCACAGTCTGTAACTTCCTTCCTTACATGTAAAAAACACTGAATGAATGTTTGCTGTGTCGAATTAAAATCTGTAAAGCTCACTGTATAGTTTTCTGTTACCTGAGTTTCCTATGAATTAGTTTTAATCTTCTTTAAATTTGGTATAGACATAAATGCAATCCACAGCATACTGAATTGAGCTCCCATTGATTCAGTTAGGAACCAGCACCCTCAGCTTTTCCTGAGTTTGTGTTTATTGACTCAGGGGTCTGTAGAAACAAGGCCACCTGCATGTGGTTCTCCTAGGCCTCCTCATTTTCCTCCTGAGCTGCTGCCTCTGATGCTGCTGATACAGCCACTCCGCCCATCCCAGACTTACGGGAGGAAATGCTGCATTCACTACCTTTTCAGTCCAGACTGAGACACAGTTCTTCTACTTACTCATTGCACAACTGAGATCAGGATGCATCTTTAAAAACAGTGAAAGAGTAGGGAATGATGCAATGGAAGGAAAACACACAGAATATTTACAACTATTCTAGGCCCAGGCCCACTGGCTTCCAGTTTTATTTTCTTGGCAGCCCCATGACCTGGGCAGTCCACCCACCCATCCCCCACCAGAATTTCCACAGCTCTCCATGGCTGAAAGTCCACATTGACCGCCAACCCTAGAGAAAGACTAATATTTGTTTCCTTACTCCATTGTAAGGCTTCCTTCCCCTAGGCTTCGTTTCTTCTTTTCCCAAGATTGATAATGGCAATATTAATTTCTTTTAAGGGACACCCAGGTCTCACTCATGGTAGCCTCTGTCCCTGACTTTTTTTATCACTCAAAGTTGGTTTGATTTGACTTATTCTGATATCTGCAGACACTTTGTTATATGAATACAAAACCTGATTATAGTCTGAGTATAGTATACAGATTGCATTTGGGATATGGGACATCATAATTGGTTATCGATAGCTGATGACTTTTCTCAATGATACCTAACATTGTCATTGTTATTTTGTCAATTGCTGGTGACACTGAGATAGTGTCACTAATTATCACAAATAACAATTTAAATTTTAAAATGTGATGGTAAAGTCTCAATTTCAAGTGGCTCAAAGATCTAGGAAGTGAGTATAGATAAAATTTTAAGAATCTTGTGGAGAAGGAAATAAATAGGTGTCAGGCCTGGGGTTGGAACTTGAGGGAGTGTTAGGGATCAGGTTTATATGAAATAAAGAAATATGAAGAAGGAAGAGGAGGGCAGAAAGGAGGAGATGTGAAATGAAAAGGAGAAAGGAGAGGAGGAGAAAGAGAAGGAAAGAAGAAGCAAGAAATAAAAACAGAAAGACCTTTCTAGTAAAAAAATATGATTAATTTCACTGGTTAGTTTATGATTTTATACTATTTATGATCACTTATTATCAACTTCAAACTGAGATATTATAAATAACACGTTCTGATTTTATTTTTTTATTTTTTATTTTTTTTACGTTCTGATTTTAAACTACTGTAGTAGAAAGTTGTAAAACATATTATTATTTTGCATCTTTTAAAAAATGAAAGACTCCAAATTGTGCTCCATGGGGCTGAGGCAAGAAGTTGTCAAGCTATTTGGCCTTGGAATTCAGTCATCGAGAGAGCTGCCAACTGAGCTCCGCCTTCAACAGGAGAGTGAGTTTGCTTCACTCTTCTCTGACCTCCAGCACAGAAGGTAAGTTGTCTGTAGACTTTGTAAAATTAAGATTGTTCTTCCCTTTAAGGGCAAGATCCCATTTGCTATTTGATCTCTTCCTGGAATCCTAAGGTGATATAATAGCCACTAACAAGGAAACAAGTAATGAAGAGAAAACAATGATTAATTAATGATGATTTTTATAGATTAATTCATAATGATTGTTGGTTGGTATACAGACTTTCTTGGTTGACTAAGATCAATGTGATAAATTCTTTACATTCTCTCAAGTTCTAGAATATTTTGTATTTTGGCAGGTAAGTTTTTTCAACTTGAGTGATTCTTGAACATTTAGTTTATATTTTTTGAGGTCTTTGGAATATATCAAGTACCATGAACAATACAATTGATTTGTAAGATTAAACTGAAGTCATGTGAGCAACATCCTGGTATTATATGTGATGTACAGTGTTCATGGATAAAAAGAGAAAGCTCAGCTCTCTGTTCATGTGCAGAGAGGTTCTCTTCTTTGAAGAGAAATTATTTGGGAATTAAGGTGGAATATGAAGTTGGAAGCATCTTTTGTGTTTTCTTGTTCCATGCAAGCAGAAAGCCCCTGGATTACAAAGCTTCTGTAGTAACTGCCACCGCCTCTTGCTAGTCTTTCATTTAGCAGAAGAGGAGGTCAAATGATTCTTGAAGAATAGATCCTCATTCCTCTCCTTCCCACCTCTTTCAAGCTCTGGTATCATAGAATTAATGTTAAATTGGTAACTATGCCATCTTAAGTAGCTCAGATCTAACAAGCTGAAATTTAGTTGGTTAAATGTAAATACTACTTACCTCTGTCACCCACCCCAAATATGATTAGGAAATGCACAGTAAATGTAGAAATGGTATATTAATAATAATTAGTATAAATGTTTTTATTTTTGATACTTCTTTTTTTTTCTACAGTAAGCAGCCATATTTTATTTTTTTTTTAAAAAAGAGTTTATTTTTAAAGTAATCTCTACACCCAGTGAAGGGCTTGAACTCCTAACCCTGACATTAAAGGTCTCATGCTCTACTGACTGAGCCAGCCAGGCACTGCAGCAGCCATATCTTTATAAGAAAGGTTTAAACATCATTTAAAATTATTTTGAGTGGGGCAGCCTGGGTGGTTCAGCAGTTTAGCGCTACATTTGGTCCAGGGCGTGATCCTGAAGACCCAGAATCAAGTCCCACGTCTGGCTCCCTGCATGGGGCCTGCTTCTCCCTCTGCCTGTGTCTCTGCCTCTTTATCTCTCTCTATGTCTCTCATGAATAAATAGATACAATCTTTTTAAAAAATTATTTTGAGGTATACCTTAGTGGTTTAGTTGGTTAAGCAGCTGCCTTTGGCTCAGGTCATGATTCCAGGGTCCTGGGATCGAGCCCTGTATCAGGCTCCCTGATGGATGGGAAACCTGCTTCTCCCTCTCCACTGCTTGTGCTTTCTCTCTCTCTCTCTCTCTCTCAAATAAATAAAATCTTAAAAATAAAATATTTTTGAAAGCTTATAGTAAGATATTTTCCCCAAATTCCCTGCCTTCAAAAGTTTATGGAATTCTGTGAATAGTGGGATCTGATCTTTGCCATCTTTGGTTCTACAGAAGCCACCCTCAATCTTTCAAAGAGAGAGAATTAATACAGGGACTTCATCCAGATGATGGAAAACAGAGAAACTAAACAAGGGGTGGTGGTTAAGGTAACCCAGAGAAGCTCTAATCATTCTTAGTCCAAAAGGACAACAGATGTGGTTACCAGAAGCTGTACTCAGGGTGGAGCTAATGCAATGACTAGCAGTGATTGCTGGGGACAAAGGCTAGGGGGTTGTTATTAGTAAGAGCTAGAGCCACAGAGGAGACATGGGCACTGTTATTTCTTAGGACACAAGGACAATGTCCTCATTTCTCCTTGTAAGGAAAGCTATTAGGATAATGAAATCTTACTTGTGTCTTTCAAAGTTTTCTTCTGTGTTTTGATCCTGCGAACAGGAAATAGCCATGAGCTAAACTGAATTTTGTTCAATAATGATAGTCTGCAAGGTCCGAGTCAGTAAATGAAAGACTGGTTGATAAGATATCAGATATTTATCGATGTGTAAGCGAGGTTGTCTTTTTATCCTTTTTTTACATTATAATATAAAATAATAATTTTGTGCAAATTTTGCAAGACTTTTATTTATGCCCTCCCACTTGTCACTCTGTAGTATAGAGAATAGAAAGTAAATAACAGCTGTATTTTTTATACTTTCCATGTGCAAAACTCTGTTCTAAGAGCTTTATATGTATTAATGCTCTTAATTCTCAAAGCAATCTTCTTATGAGGTAAGTAGTATGATTAACCCTTTTATGGAAGAGGAAGTTGAAGTACAGAGAGGTTTGCTAAGGGCACAGTATCATATATAGATGACATGGTCATGTTTCAGGGTATGAGAAGTGGCCTTTGTGATCAGCTATGCTATGTGATTACTGCCACAAAAAAAAGGTCCTCAGATAAATGGACACTGATTTGGAACACTAAAATGGAACACTGATTTCTTGTAGACGTTGCCCACACGCCAGCACCTTCAACCAAGCCACCATCCTCTCTTACCTATACCACTACGGTGCACTCTGGACTCGTCTTGTCCCTCGCGTCCTTATCCTCTTCAGTCTGTATTCTGCAGGGCAGCCAGAAGAACCTTTTAAAAGCACAATTCCTCTTCTCAAAGCCTTCCACTGGTTGTCCATTGTTAGTTGTTAGCAACATTACTTAAAAATACTGTATGATGGTTTCATTGGGCAGGCATCACCCAGGGAGTTGGAAGGGCCGTTGCTTTCCTGCTGTGATCGGGCAGCCATTTACCTACCTATCTTCACCTGAAAAGGACATTGTCTTTACTTTTCTTATACTCAGGCCATGAGCAAGCTCTGTAAATGAGTCAGGAAATCCTGAAAGTATCCTCACCGTCTACCTATGAGTAGGGCATTGATCCCTGGGCAGCAGTTTCAGAAAGTCTGCAGACTTGAATGTTCGACTCGACTCATCCCTAGAGACCCCCTGAGGGCTTGTGAGTCTGCTGAAGCTTCTGGCAAAGTGACAGCCATTTTGTAACGTCTCTCAATGGTGCTATTTGTTTTGGCCTTTCCTGGGTAAATTTGGTGTACAGCCAGGGCAATAAAGGGCACTCTTCAGACTAGAGTTGGAAAAGGCAGCTAGGATGAATCTCTAAGTAGCAGAGAGGGATGTAGGGCAAAGGAAACTGGCTAAGGACACAGATGAGCTAAAATTCACAACTTACGCACTTATATTTGACCAAACAGCAAAAGCCAAAAGAATGCTACAATGGGCCTTCACATGCTGGGAGAAATGCTTAGTCCCTGGGGTGCTCTACATTTCATCCCTGTGGCAATGAACCATGCCAGGATTTCAACCTAAGTGCTGCTCTTAACTGGCAAAATATCTTAGGTGTTTCATATGTATGATTAATGAAAAAGAGACAGTCAGTATGATAAGCTTGACACCATCTTTGGCCTGTCTAGTTGCATTCATATTTCTGAGAAGAAAGAAGAATAACTGGTATTTAAATAAAAGGAATATTTAACTGGATGATAAACAAAGGGCATGACAAAATATCTTTGGCAAAAATTATGCTCCCATAGACTAGTTGCAGCTGTTCAAAGTTACTAGAATAACTCAGAAAAAGTTTTTGTTTTTCATTGCTTCATGAAGTTGGCAAAGACGAGCTATGCATGATGACTGCAGCTAGAATAATGTTATTGCTAGTTGTCATATTTTAATCTAAAGAAGTAGCCATTACTCTTCCCAAGATTTTACTGCTTATGACATATGAAGTCCTATGGGTTCTATAAAAGAACTTTGGAATCTCTCTCATTGCTTCAGACTTTATGCAGCCAAAATGATTACTGAGGACATTTCAGCCTGCATTTTTTAAAATTCAGAGGTTATTCACACTGACTTCTCATGCTGTGACTTCATGCAAGGCGTCATTAATCACATGTATTATTAATATGTTAACTCTCCCTTCAAATACTTCATTGATGTACATATGTACCTAAGTATATTTGTAAATCTGAAATTAATGAAAACTACCTTTTGGGTGAAGAAAAAACACATTTGTTTTATTGCACCTTGCATTGTAAGACGTCACAATCTAGTACCTCATAAATATTTTCCCCTCTTAAATCATTGCCTGGAAAATAAGTTTGTCTCACTTTTTCCGTAAAGCTAAAGTTGTAGAGGTTAAATTTTGTAAATGTTACAAAAGAGTTTCCTCCATGAATAACCATAAGCTCAGGCAACTGGAAGGGTCTTCAAGAAATGACACAGTTCTGCATGAAGCCAGATATGTCTACTACATACTGACAGTTATTCTATTATTCAGATGCGCTGAGACAGATTATCTAGACCTTCTTGCTATGGTAGCCTGTCTCATAGTAAATCATCCTTTTTCATTGTTTTTTGTTCTATGAAACTTTATGTGATGCTGAATTTTTTTAAAAAGATTTTATTTATTTATTCATGATAGACATAGGGGGAGAGAGAGGCAGAGACACAGGCAGAGGGAGAAGCAGGCTCCATGCAGGGAGCCTGATGTGAGACTTGATCCGGGGACTCCAGGATCACACCCTGGGCCAAAAGCAGGTGCTAAACCGCTGAGCCACCCAGGGATCCTCGAGGCTGAATTTTTCTTTTTTCTTTTCTTTTTTTTTTTTTTTTTTTTTTTTGCTGAATTTTTCAAAGTTATTTTTCATTTCAGTTAGTTAACCTACAGGGTTATATTAGTTTTCAGGTACATAATATCTTATATTTCAGGCATAAAATATATAGTTTTGGTTCCATATACCACCTAGTGCTCATCACAAGTGTACTCCTCAATTCCCATCACTTACTTAACCCGTCCCCCACCCACCTCCCCTCTGGTAACCATCAGATTGAGAATCTGTTTCTTGCTTCGTCTCCCTCTCTCTCATTTTTTTGCCTTTGTTTCTTAAATTCCACATATGAGTGAA